TTTCACTTGAATTAATAAGGGTAGAAACTTGTAGTAGAATTAGGGCTAGGACATGCTTTCTCTTGACTTTAAGATAGATGCTTATAATTGGATCAGAGCCTCCTTTCTTTGAATTAATGAATGTAGACAATCACAGTAGGAATAAAACGTTTGTGTTGATAACGTGTTATGAAAACTAAACTAAGAAAATGCAAAACTAACAAGAAAAACTTTAGAGAGAGAATGAGAATTTCATTAATCTTGTGAAGGTATATAAAATGAAGAACCTTAAAGCTCTATTTATAAGAAAATTTTTGGCACTATTCACGGTTATTATTTGCACAGTAAGATTCTAACATGAACAGTAACTTTGACTGACTTACATAATAACTTTGACTGAAGTGGACAGCTACAATTCATAACATAACCCACATTCTAAACGAAGTTGTTGTTCATCAAAAAATAAACAAACCAGTTCTCATCCCATCAAAAAAAAAAAAAAAACCAACAACAACAACAAACAAAAGAAAAAAAACAACAAAAACCAAAATGTATAACCTTTCTTATTATTAGTTGAAAATTTTTTAGTATTTATTTATGAGTTCGTAATAAATTTGGATACGTATAAATTCTGTTAAAAGAAGATTAGTAGTTTTCTTTTTTAAAGGGTTTGGTATATGGTGGGTACATTTCTTTAAAACAAAAGATATAGTGACTCAAAAAAAAAAGAAAAAAAAAAAAAAAACGTTAGACAATAATGTTATAATAACTCTTTAAAGAGGGAGTAGTAAATCACAATCTTATTTATACTATTGCTTTTTTATATTTAGCTTCGTTTATAAGTGTCGTGTCATATTACGTAACTCACTTTCTATACTATTTAAATGTGTGGTGTTGTGTCCCTCAACATTGCTCATTTCTCTAATTTATTTTCAGCTTCGTGTACTCTTGCCACTTGAATGTGTTCACCACACAATTGTTCCTCCCTTTCCCTTTGCTTGTTCTTTTTCGTTCGTGCTTAACACCCGTTAAGCACTTCACTCGCTAATTTATTCATTTTTTATCTAAGAAAAACTCATCGGCACACCTCGCTTATAGAGTTCGCGCTAACCTATTTGTTTTAATCGTTCGTGGCTGGCCCCAGCAGGGAGCCACTCACTTGATTTTTAATACAACCATACCTTACCAATTCTCACAAAGTGCAATAAAATAAACACACCAAGAGAGAGAATACGTCCCTGATTATGTAGGCCATGTGTCTTAATTGTGGCATTGCTATTTGCTGCAAATTTATGAGTTGAAACTTTGAAGGACGTGGCGAGTTGGCAAATAAAACAAGTGGTGCATTTATCAGCATAGGCAGCACAAGATCCCAAATTCCAAAATCAAACACCATCCAAAATGCAAAGGATAATCAATCCCAAAACCATGTTCCTCTTTTTTCTCAAAAATGTATTATTGTGTTTTACATCAAATGAAAAATGTTCATACACAAGATATACGCTGCAATGCAAATCAATTGTCTACTAAGATTGCCACACACACTAATTATCCTAAAGCGGATGATCTCGTGCGCAGAAAACTAGCATCTCAGAGAAAAAAGACCAAAAGGAGGACCAAGTGAATAGAGATGAAAAGGAAGTTACTACTCCAAGCATGCAAAACCATCTTTGAAGCAGCATTAGTATTATTGGAAGCTGTTTCGCCAACAATGAGAAAACATCATTTAGTTCCGGTTGAAAAACATACATAGAAATCATAAAACAAAGGTTGAACTTGACAAAGGTAAATCAGCATAGATAAAAGAATCGTTTTACTTTGATCAATGCTAAAGGCAATGCCGAGTACCACCCACTAATAAAAGATGGGTCTCTGCTGCATGGGACACACAAGTAGGACCCACTTTCTATTAGTGGTGGTGCTCTTAAGCATTTTTCTATTACTTTTTATGAAAGTCGCAAAATTCAGACACGTCCGCTGCCATGAATCCACGATATTCATGATAATAAAACTCTAAGATCATGAATCATATCAATTAGATTAAAAAAGATGAGAGAGAGTACTAATGTAGAGGAAATCACCTGGACAATTTGGTTGTTGAACTTGAGTGGTGAAGATGGTTGTTTTATTGAAACCGGCATAGGCACAAGTTGTGCCACTACCACAGGTAGTGGAAGATGTCGTATTCACAATGGAAAAACTGCTCGAGTCCGAGCATTGAGTGGAAGGGCATGTTGACCAGTTTGTGGGGTTGAGCTGTGATGCCTCACATTGCAATCTTGAAGTTGGTAATAAGGAACGTGAACCTCAATTAATTACGAGAATTATGGGACGTACAATCAATGTAAACTTCCCTTTTCTTGTAAATTTCTATTCATATATATATATTGTACATTTTACATAATTAATGAATTTGGTCAAAGCCATTAACATAAGTCCATTTCTCTTTCAACCTTTTAGATGGAACCCACAAGCAAAAACAAAATTTCCCCAACATTGGAATATAAAATACACGAGAAAAATCCTAAAAACAAGAGTGGAAATAATTGGTAAAATGGATTATTAACAAATTCAGTATAAAAAGGACTTACACCCAGTTGTTTGCAGAATTACAATTGCACTTCACGCATCGGTAAGCAGTCAATACGTAGGTCCCATTGGGAACAAGCAAAGGGCTATCCAACGAGTCAGTCCTTACTGAAGATGAGCAAGCTGCAGCCAAATTATGAATACTAGTCAATTACAGGTTTATATTTGAATATGACAAAAGGTTTAGCTTAATGCTTAAAAATGAATCCTTAATAAAATGAATATAATTTAACCAAACAATTCTAGTTACCTAATCCAATAATTTTCCTATATATGGTAGATTTGACTAAAGTAGCCACTTTCAGATTGCCACTCAGCAAAGGGGGTCCAGATACACCAAACCAAATCGAGTGATTGAAGAAAAGACCACACATTATGGACCATAAAATTTAATGACACAACTAATGCTTAGCAAAAGCATGTACCAAGTCTTCAAATGCATGCCCAGGTAGTCAAAAACTAATTCCACAAGGCATATTTCCTAAACCAGTTGGCAAAAACTCTTAGTTTTTCCATAAATAGGAAAAACATTGTTGGGATTAATCTAAACTTGGCCGTATATTATACCACACTAGCCTATTTTTTTCACCGTCAATTGAATCAGAAAATAGACAAGACCGCTATGAAAATGGTTCAAGTAAACAACATTCGCAAGTTATGGTATTACAAACAAATTGTAAAGCAGCACACACTTTTTGTAAGTGGGGTGCACCACCGACTAAAGGATAGACATAAATGTGTAAGTGTTGGAAGTGGAATAAATAAGCAATAGTGAATCAAACAAGACGGGCAATGAAGAAAATTCAAAGAAAATTTGTTATTATATGAACGAAATGGAAAAATAATAAAGGTAGGAAAGAAAAGTCATCCATACTTTTTGCCTTTTCAATGCTTAGGCTCTTTTTTTTTTTTTTTTTTTTTTTTTTTTTTGTTTCCAGTAAGCTTAAGGAAAATTTCATACGAAGTACATGCTCTACTCTAGAGATTTCCGAAAGTTAATAATAGATTTCACATTGGATGCATCATGCATATACTATTACTACCAAATTTTTAGCTGTTAAAGACTTGAAAGAAGCCAGTCTATTTTCAATCTCATCAAATCTGAAAAAAAAAAAAAAAAAAAAAAAATCAAAGTATATGGTCATTTTTAAACTTCGTTTAATGATTAAGATTTGGATTGTAAGTACATATTAATTTACAAATTCAGTCTAAAGATGGTAATTTTTCTGGTCAATTCAAATTATTATTAGAAAAAGGAAGATCATCCCATTGGCTACGCATCATCCACCCAGTTCACCTTTAATTTATCATCTATAAGGCACATATATGATAGCGATATGACTAACGACTCCCTAATAAATTATTCATCGCTTCTTTAAATCATGTATTATTCGTCGATAAAATGTATAGTAGAAACTGTATTATTCTTTTAATCACTTCTTTCAAATGTTTAATCTGTAAATAGGAATATATTAATATCGACCGCTGTAAATTTTAAAATGGAGACTAGCAGATTGGGCTCTTGTAAAAATAATAGTTCTTATTGATCATGAAAAAGAGCAGATTTTTGCAAAGGGGTTGACATTTTTTAACCTTTAGATTAAATTTCTAAAGGTTAAATTTATAATTTTTTTTTTTTAAATAAAAGGACTTATTCATTTACACTCAAATTTAAAAAAAAAAAAAAAATTGAACTCAAATTATAATTTTATTTAAGTTCATGTTCTTTTTTAAAATTTAAATTTAAACTTTAGTTTTAACTTAAGTTTGTTCTCCTTTCAACTCAAACTCAAGTTAATGAACAGTATTTTTTATATTCTTAAAAACGTTAACTTTTTCATTTTAATTCCGATTGAGATGATTTTTTTCTATGCGTTCACAGTGAAGAAACGAATAAAATCACACACATATACCTTATTAAAATTTTTCATCAATATTGAGTTTTTATTAAAATATTATCCAAATATAAATTTAAGTTTTGACTCACGCAAACACAAACTTAAATAGATTCTCAATTCAAACCATAACTTATAATGTAGACATCTAAACATAAACTCAAATTAAAATCTCAACTCAAATCATACTCAAATACACTTTAACTCAAATTAAAATTTGAGTCAGCCTAACTCAAAAAATACAAATCAACAATAATCTGATGGTTATAAAAATTCCAACATGAGAGTCACAAAAATTCCAACATGACAGTCACATATTTATAATTTAATGTGATGGTTAAAAAATTACTCAACCTGTTAAGCATAGGGTAAAATTGCCTCTCTATTTATCAAAATGAAATCAACCTTAAAAGAAAAAGAAAAAGTAAATGTAGAGGGGAAAAAGAAAAAATGAAGAAAAGAAGAGAACCTTCTAGAGGAACATCAAGCACTTGATCGGCTTGAAGGGCACTGGCGTTAGCCATCCCGTTGAGCTTCAACAGCGTCTCCTCCGTCGTACCAAACCTCTCGGCAATCCCCGCCACGCTGCTCCCGGACTCCACCAAGTGCCCGTAATGCACCACCTTCGTCCCGTTCACCTCGTCGCAGCTACACGGCAGCGGAATCCACAGCCTCTGACCCTCCTCGATCAAATCCGGGTTCGATATGTTGTTATGGTCGGCGATTTCCTCAAACGTCACGAGCCCCGAGAAAGTCTGCCTCGCGATGTTGTCGAGGCCGTCGCCTTTCTTGACGGTGTAGACGGGGACCTTGTTGGAGACGCCGGAGGTGCCGTTGCTGGAGCAGAGGCAGGGGAAGGGGACCCGAATCTTCTGCTTCGCGGCTACGGTGGTTTTGGGTGGGGTCGAGGTCGGGAGGTTGTTGGCGCCGAGGAGGGAGTCGAGCTTCTTCACGCCGAAGAGGGTCTTGATGCCGGAGTAGGTAGTGTCGTTCGTCGGCGAGTAATCTACCAACGCGTGACACGTGGCGCGTGCGCTGCATTGGAAGGAGCCCTCCGTCCGTGTGGCGGCGGCAGCGGAGATAAGGCAGAGGGTGAGGAGAAGCACCACCTTTGATGAAGAAGAAGAAGCCATTTTTTTAGAGAGAGAGAGAGATTAAGGATGTTGTTTTTGAAGGAGTGCTGGGTGGGGCGCGGTCGAGTGAGCTGGAAAATTGTTAAATTGTGAGTTTTTGTTTGCGGTTTGTGAACATGTGAAAGCAAGAAGATGATGATGAAGAGTGAATGAAGGAAGAAAGATTAACCATTAATGGAGAGAGAGAGGGGGAAAGGACAAAGTTTTGACTTGACGTGGCAAGAGTTATAAATGGGAACACTTTGGAGTTTGGAGACAACAGTTTTTCTGATTTTTATATTACTTTTGGCTAAGCAGCAGTTCTCTTTAAGTTTCACTGGCGTCTTCTACGGCGTTGTTTATTCTTTTCTCAGTCGATTAACAAAAACAAAAAAATAAACAAACTATCGTGTTTAGAATTATTTTTATTTTTATTTTTTATATTTTTTAAAAAAAAATAAAAATAATTTTAAAATAACGTTTAATACAATTAAAAATAAAAAATAAAAATAAAAACGATTGTTTATTTTCATTTTCTCTTCTCTTGCATAAAAAGAAAAAAAATATTAATAAATTTTTTTATGTTAAAAATAATCTCTTAATAAATTTATTAAATATATTTTTAAAAATAATTTTTATCTAAAATTTAAAATATTTTTATTTTTATTTTTATAAAAAATAAAATTATTTTAAAACGAATCAAAAAACGTCCACGTTTTCAAGAGTCAGTCCTCACGTGGCGTTTTGCGTCGGTATTCCGTACTTCTTTCTTCTTCATAGTATCATAGTATGTCTTTATCCATTTTTCCATTCGAGGCAACAACAAGCTGCCCCACGGGACCTGCCTGTGTTTGTGCGCGCCTATTGTGCTAAATTGCGCAGTTAAAGCTTGGCCCGTCTTAGCCGTCATCTATTTAAGGAGATTAGGCCGGTGTTTTCACCAAGAGGTAGTAGCCAAAAACTAGGAGTGGAAAAAAGGAAAGAAATTAGAGAAACTAGTGTCCTACAGAAATTATTAGGGGGAATAAGTCGTCTCTCGGTGTGAATTTAGAAGTCAACCAATGAAGTATTTTGCCTGGAACATCAGATGACGCGCCAAACATGGAAGAAGACTTGACTAGCTTATCTTATATACGTTTCATTAAAACCAACTACTTACTACAAAACATTCACATGATCACCATTATTATCTTTCAATTGTTTTTCCTTCTGTCGTGTCGCAATCACAGTTCACAAGTGCTAATTAAGAAATGAAAGAGCATATTGTCACGCGATACAGGTCTGCATCATCACTTTCAATTAGAAACTAATGCTACTGTTATCATTCCATTCAACCGAAAAGGTCTGTAAGACAAAGGTTTATTCACTCTTTTAAAAAAAAAAAAAAAAATGTTGTCATTAGTTTTATTGTACTCGATTACTCTATCAACCATTTAAGTATACTTCCCTTCAGACTTCATGCCCAGACCCGAAAAGAGTAAACTGAAAGAAAAAAAAAAATTTAATAGAATGAAGCGAAAATTAAGAGAAACACCTAGTTTATTTTAGTAGATATCATCAAACAACACACAAACACAACATGCCAACATAATATTCACATCACTTCTCCTCCAGGCGCCTTAGCACCGAATCCGCAAAGCTTTGTTGCCTGCAGACACAAAAATGAGGAGTGAGAGACATAACGCAAATTGTGACTAATAGAATGTAGTGAACTGTTGGTTTTGACGTATTATATCAGAGAAAAATAAATGTTATTTACTTCCTCTCTCTGTGCTTTGGACTGGGACGAGAGTGCTTCAAATATCCGTCCCAAGGAACCTTCTTAAGACCTGCCCGAGCAGAAATTATGTCCCTTACCCTGCATAAAAATCATGGAACAAAGGTAAAAACAAATCCCATACCTTGAAGATTGTTCAAAAACTGATGGATCATGGATGCCTTTTCTTTGATGTTCTATGTACAAGCTTTCTTGTAAATTTCAGAAAATGTTGTTTACCTCTCTGCAAATTCTATGGGGGTCTCCCCTGGCTTCAGATTTTGAGGCTCCAAATACCACACATCACAAACTACGGCCCATGATGTCATAAGCTGCAGTAGATGCTTTGTGAAGGACTGCCTGCAACAAAGGAATGCTACATAAAAGCCTTTTTCATACATAGGTGTGTGTATCCTCGCTAAGCAGTAAATGCATTAGACATAAAAGGATTGGTTTAAAAAGAAATCATCATTTTCACAAAATGCATAACCATTAGTAGACACATCAAGATCAACATGCCATAATCAGCTCCTTACTTTCTGCTATTCCAAAAAGCATCAACGAAGATCTTGTTGTACTTGATCGCAATTGGGCAAACTGAACATCCGAGCTCAAATGCACCCTAAACAGCATCGACAAATTAAGTCAGAGAAATTGAAACTACCAAGTACCCATGAATATAGAGTTCTGACATTTTCACCGCAAGGTCAACATTCACTGCTAAACTAATCAAAATTTTGACATTACAAACAAGATACATTTACCTTTTTGAACATAACAGTGTAGTGGTTATTTACACAAGTTCCTTCAGGGAATATAAGAAGGGGATTATCAGCCCCCTGCACGTGTTCCCTTAATCTGAAAAAGTACAAGTTATATTACAACAAGGACAGTATTGCAACAAAAGCATATATTAGACGCTTTACAGTATACTTACTTCAATATGCAAAGTGTTGATATGAAAGTATATATAAGGCTATAAGCACTTTATACTTTTACTTACTTCCTTGCCACAATTTCTCGATCCTTAGACTCTGTGCGATTGAACCAAATACAGCCAACACTCTCCAGAATAGTGCTTTGCAATAGTCCTTTACAAGAAGAGTACACAGAGAGGATTAGATTAATGCATCAAGTTAACACCAGCAAAATGAAAATGTGACGCTTATTATTTCTGTTAAAATGAGAAAAAACAAAACAGAAATTCTTTATCAAATTCTATTATGTACGTAAATAAACAAAAAGACTCAAAACCCAGTCAAAAAGACTCTTCAATTCCACAAATGAACAAACAAGCAAGCATAGTGGTTTAAACCCTGTCAACATTTCCAGCAAAAAAAAAAAAAAAAGGTAAAAAAAGAAAGAAACTCTGTCAAAACGTTTCCTAATCATAAAGAAACGATCATCACTTTGATTTGTTTAAGACTTTTCCCATCCCAAGTTAAACGTACATATCAACACAAAAGTCTGTACAACACAGGAGTCCCATATTATTCAAGAAAAACTTCCTGAATACTAGAATCAAGAATTTACGCAGAATCAAATAAGCATACTCTAACTCTATTAAATTTGTATTTAACAATAAGACTTACCAACCCATCCAGCATGCTTTTGCATGATAACTGAAAATGCAGTCATCTGTTCTAAGATGATGAAATCAATCATGGATGTATGATTGGCCACAAAAACCTGCCCAAAAGTATGAAAGGGAAGGTCAAGATGAAACATTCTGCAGAAAACATTATCAAATATATGGATAAAGAAATATATGCCTGAAAGAACATTATAGCCCGAAATACCTGATTAGGCCGCATGCTAGGCCGCGGCCCATGATATTTGACCACCCCAGTCCAAGATGCAACAAAAAAGCTGCAAATTAACTCCACCAAAAGCCTCTGTCGAGAAATAGCCACAATGAGAAAAGCTAAACCTTATTGGACAAATCAGAAAGAAAAGTTTCATAAAATTCAAACTCGCACCTCTAACTTTCTCCTTAACTTTTCATGCCCTTTCAACAGAAAGTGCACGGGAATGTATGAAGACAGGAAAATTATCCATCCTAATGTCAAGACTATAACCCTGCACGGTCATTTCACAAGCATGAAGTAGCAGATAAAAGCAAAACAAAATCCATAAGCAAATGCAGTTATAGATATGCATAACATGGCATTAATTTCTAAATAGGAACACAAAATTAAAAGTTCATAAGCATGGAGAACTCTGCAAGTGTAATCAGAATGGTAAGACTTCAAATCTAGATACACAAACAACATAGAGAAATCATTGCATGAGAGCATCAAAGCATAAAATCTTCAAAATTTGTCGTAAAAATACGATTAGAAGTTCTGACCTCAAAGGAAACAAAATGAAATAGCGAAACACAACTCCGAAACACCACAAAGGAAAGAGATAGATATTCCAGTTCCAAGGCTCCGGAGAATTCGACTTGAAGCATCGCGTGAACGAGTCCTGTTCATTCAAAATCCGCCATGCAGATATTTCAATCACTCAATTTCGGATGAGAAAAAGAAAAAATTCATCCTCCAAACCCACGCCTTAAATTCACTGCGATTTATCAACAAAAAATCGATTATAGACGAGAGACGACTCACATCGACAATGGCGCCAGCGGCCTCGGTCAAGGTCGGTGAAATATCGAGCAAATCGCGACTGCCAAAACAGAATCCAGTCCAATCGGAGTAAAACCAAACCAAACATTTTCTCGGGAAACAAACAAAAAGAACATGCAAGAAAATAGGGAGAGAAATTACAGGCGAAGCTTCCCGTCAGGTTCTTGTTGGATTGAAGATCCCGAAGGGAGATAATCCTCGATGTTAGGGCGATCCAGGTCCAATTCAGAGCTCGAGGGTTTGAGCGTCCCAGTCGTACTCATCTTCAGAGCTTCGTCGTCTTCTTCGTTCTCTGCGAATTGAATTCGCTTACGACGAGATTTCGATGGCTTCTTTGGAGGCTTTGTGTCGCTGTCGCGGCCGCGTTTGCGCCACACCTGCTCAGTCTCTTCTCCACGCAACCCAAAGCAACTTGGCCATCCTCCCATCTGTTTTCTAGTTTCTCTCCAAGGCATTGAAAATTTTATTTTCTTTTTTCTTTTTTTTTTTAGAAAAAAATAAATGAATATTTCTTCTACTCTCTAGATTTAATTTCCACAAATATTACTTTGCCTTTTTATTTTTGGGCGTCGCTTTGCACAAATTACATTATTGGATCACCTTTGGCCAACAGAAAATTGAATTATTTGTTTTAGGATAATGTCAATCTTAGTAATGTCCTACCATATTCTTTAAAAAATAAAAATAAAAAAAAATAAAAAAAATAAAAAAACTAATGCTCTACCATATGAACCGTGTAAAATAAGGAGAAAAAAAATGAACCGTGTAAAATATCCCTAAAAAAAAGCATGTAAAATAAAATCCATGAACTTAGATTTGGCCACTTTTGAAGATTCCTTCATTTTAGTGATATGGATAATTCCTTTGAAATATATGTGTACAAATAGTTAACTTCCAAAAGAAATGTTTACTTAAAAACTTGTTTATTGGCCTTTTCCGTGAGCAATACCATGAAAGTGGCCGCATATAGTCAAACTACCATATTATTTTATCCAAGAAGTGGTATTCACTAGTGCAATTATGGTATCTCGGTTTTTTTTTTTTCGGGGGAGAATTATGGTATCTCAGTTTGAGAACAAGCAATAGACACTCATATGTACGTCTTTTCTTAAATTGGTGGCCGTTGATATAGACTCATATGGTCGTCTTTTCTCCAATTGGTTGGTTAACTTTCTTTCTCCAAGTATACTTTGTCAAGCAATTCCACCTCCTTCAAAGTTATCGCCTTTTTCTCTTCTTTTTTCGGCTTTTATTAGTTTACTGTTTGTTTCCCCTTGAGAAATGATTGCCCCGGAAGAGAATGGCAATCACAGCCCTTTTAAAAAGCCCAATAAGATAACATGGCCCATAAAATTTGGGCTTATTGGCAAGATGTCCAGCTTAATGGGCTTCGTGTTTTTGTTTCAAAATGGGCCGAGTGCACTCGTAGGCCCTATTCCAAATCTTGGCCGCTTCTCCTCGTTTCTGTTGTTCCTGTACCTTTCTGTACGGTGCCGAAGACAGGAAGCATAAAGAGTTGAAATTTCACGTGCTAGCAGTAACAGATTCTGGTAGGCTCAACTTGATTATTATTTTATTTGGAATTCTGCTAGGAATACCTTTTGGCAAACAAAACAAGCATATCAGACAACAACATGCACAATACGGAGTACCTTTATGCTAAGCTTGCTTAGCAGAATTAAGAATTCTGCTTAAACAAAAAGAGAGTATAATTTCCGAGCCAAGCAAAAGAGAGAGATAGTTTGACCTGAAAGTGTCTATATAAGAGATAATGGTCCATTTGAAACTCGTTCTAAAATAATTTTATTTTTTATATGAAAATGAAAATGAAAACGTTTTTAATTTCAGATATAAATTATTTTTAAAAATACGTTTTGTAGTTTTATCAAGATATTATTTTCAGTATAAAAAAAACTCGTTAATGTCTCTCTATCTCTGCTCGAGAGATGAGAAAATGAAAAACGACTTAGTCTTTTTTTATTTTTCTCTCATTTTACATTAAACTAAAAAATCATTTTAATTTCCTTTTTTTATCTTTATTGTGCCAAATGCCGTTTTAAAAATATTTTTATTTTTTTCTCAAAAAACGTAAAAAATAAAAACGGAATCAATTCCAAACACAGCCAGTATGTCCACTACCATTTTCTTATGCCTATTTCAAGACTAGTAGTGTCAAGTGTGTGTAAAACTTATTGTTATTATTATTCTTTTTTTATATATAAGTAAAGCTAGGTACATTAGAGCTTTTGGCCTATCTTGAATCATGACTGTAAATTTAGGTTTGACTACTTCCAAAGGAGAAAATTGGTTCAAAAAAGTCTCAAAGTAGAACCAAATTGCTTGCTCAAAAATATAAGAATATCCCCTAACCCCATTTGTCCACGTCTTATTGCCACTATTATCCGTCATAATACCAAATCGAATATGTTTATGTTGATCACTTAAATGCAAGGAACTTGTCAATCATTATAGACAATAAAACTAAGGTTTTGCTTATTTCACCGATTCGAATTTTGTTACAGTAAAAATTTTTTAAAAATACTCACATTTAATTTTTTTATTATAATAAAAAGTTCTCATATAATTTACATCTTAACTCGAATCAACAAACTAAACGGATCATAATAAAAACAATACACATGTTCATTGAAATGGCACGTCAATCCCAATTCCCCTCCATTGCGTGCCTTTAAGGACGAGAGAAATGCATAAATCAGGTGGCAAGGATTGGAGCTAGCCCTCCACGGAGGAGCTGAACAAAAAGGACCAAAAAGTTCATTTTCTTTGTATTTGCTTGTCTCGCAAGCACTTGCATAAACTTTATTTGTGCCACAAAAACGGTCTATAATTTTATAGTCCTACGTCCGCTTGATTTATGAAGGATTAAATAATGATCAAATTAATATAAATAACTAAAATATATTGAGTCAATAACAAAAATTTCAACAATATATATTTCTTGAACATCATCCGACACTCAAAAAATATATTATACAGTGCAATAAAAAAAACGATTGATCTGACTATATTTTGATTTTTTTTTTTTTTTTTTGCTTAGAATGGAAATTTCGTCATACTGCTAAACCTAAGATCTATACAAAGATTTTATAATTATGACCGTGTCAGCTTTGTTAGCCTCAATAGTCTGACATTTTCAATTCAATCCTTTAAGCATTAAAGGGGACGTTTGGTTCATGAATTTAAATTTATAATTTAAGATTATTCTCATTTTACGTGTATTTTTATGAGAAAATATATTATAACGAATCATAAATCATGATTCGAATTATGGCACGAATTTTCTTTCCAAACGTCCCCTAAAAAAATAATTCTTAATCAATCTTATATTGTTTTCAGTTTACATGACATATGTTAATCACTATTTCCCTCATTTGGCACACTTTCCTTTTATACAAATTTGTTCAACCACCCTGTATTTTTCAGCAGCGTATTAGGTGAAAACACAATTATTTATCAATCGTTCAGCTAAAGCCTATCTTAATTATTAGTTAGTCTTGTACACCAGTAACGTAACTAATTACCATTCATTGGACAAAATTTATAACCAATTATGTAGAAATTATCTGTCACATTCTCAGTTTAGTTGTTACGTCACGCGTCATCTTAAATACTATCCTATTAAACTAAAACTCTAAAAATTAAAAACAAATATATAAGAGAAATTATCTGTTGTAAACAATCTGACCACGTGATTGTTAGTGTTAGACGAGAATCAGATGGTTCACACGTAACAGCTTGGTCTTCTTACAAACCAAAAACTCTTCCAAATCCATATAGATGGAAAGTAGTTTTCTGAGTTAGTTTGGTCAAATAATTAACCTTATTTAGCACTAATATATATCTTAATTATCTTTTTCTTTTTAGGAAATCTGATTATCTTCTTTTGCTGATAATAGGTCAGATAATTACGATTAAGGATATTGATTCGGGTTACACTATAGGCAAAGCGAAAACACCCTTTTTTTTTTTTTTTTTGGTTCGGATGAGGAAAAAAATAATAATAATAAAAAAAGGATTTTGAAACGTCAAGAACGAGGTGAGACAAAAAGCACGCACTTAAATTACATCGAAAAGCGTTATTAACAAGCTCGTAACGACAATCAATGTATTAGTGTAACGCGCTCACCCCACGCTCCTCAAGTGGGCATGAATGGCCGGCCTCTCAATCTATATGGATTGGTTCAAGCACGTGCTTCCTTCGAGAGTGGGAATATCATTTTCTTGTAAGAAAATAGACCTTACAGCACGTGATAGACACGTGACTAGAGAGCACAACAAAGATCTTGCCCAAAATGAACGAATTAGCAACTAGCAAGGAAAATATCATATATGGCTGCTGACACACTACTACCGTGTTTCTCAATCCTATCTTAATTTAGTTAAATTTTTTTATGTGAATTCACTTGGGAAGGTCCTAACCAAGCACACAATATAAATACGAGGATTTGAAGATCCAAGTCTACATATTTAAAAGATATCCAAGTCACTACAAAAGAAAACTTTATTAAAATATGAATAACACAATATCAATAAAATATAAAGCTTTTTTACAATAAGAAATTGTATACGTTTCTGATCATTATATTAAGTCAAAATTAAATCAAAATAAAAATTTAAATACGACAAAAAATCAACAATAAAATCTCTGATACATGTTGAAAAACCAATTTTTTTTTCAAAGCTTACTGTAGAAATCTTTGGATTATAATTATGAACCCTTTGATTACGTCTAAATTATATTAAGACAAAAGTGTCAAATGGAGCATTTTTTCCAAACTGTACAACTGTTCTTCCGCTTTAAAATGCCAAATGGTGATCATAAATTTGTGTCCGTCTGATCATGGATAAGGATGATTCGTTAGGCCTTACAAGTCCAAGCGGAACACACGGAAGAAAAATCCAATCAGAATTACGCGCGCGATTGGAACGAGGCAGGCCTCTTTTCTTTTTACATTTTTTTTCTCAAAAATAATTTAAAAAAAAAAGGTTTATTTGTTGCGTTTGCGGGGAAGGTATTTTACATGGCCGTTGCTTCGCAGCAGCGTAGCGACCTCTTGTTCCTTCTTCTTCTTCTTCTTCTTCTTCTTCGCTGCTACAATAGCCTAGAAGAAGGAAGGAATCACTGTCGAAAGCGGCCCAACGACTCTGCGTTTTAAATGCGAACTCCATTTATTAAAAACGTTTCATTTTCATTGATCGGCAATCTCAGAAAATGAAGAAGAGGAAAGACAACAACAACAACAACGCCGTCGCCGGGATCATCCTCAGCGCCGCCATCGTCCGCCGCCACCGCCACCTCCACCGTCTTGTCTTTCAGCTCGTCTCCGCTTTCTCCGCTTGCCTCCTCCTCCTCCTCGTCGCCTTCTCTCTCCTCGCTCCCTCTCCCGCTCTCAACACTCTCGATCATGACCGCCACCACCTATCGGTATCGCACATGCCGGCCTCTCTCTCTCTCTCTCTCTCTCTCTCTCTCTCTGTATAGATATATTTATATATATATGTATGTATATGTATATATCAGTATATAAGTTCGCGATTCTAAAGGTTTAATCTGTTTTTCTTGTTTTTGAGTTCAGACGACCGGTGGAGTTGAGGAGCGACGGCAATCGGATTTGGTTCGGGAGACGGCGTTTCCTGTTCCGGTACGGAGATATTTGTTTGTTGTTTTCTTATGCGTGATTTTGCGTCTTGGTTGATTCTGGCGAAGTCAGTCTTGTGCAGGTTTCGTGAATTGAATTTGTAATTCTGATGCTTGGATGGCTTAATATTTAGGCTAGTGGAGAGAGTTTGGGGCGAGATTTGTGGACAACGACAAAATCGGAATTCTACTTTGGTTGTAGTAATGCTTCTCGTAACTTCGTCAGTAAGTATCACACAGATTGGTTCATTGTTTTTACAATTACATAGCGAGAGCACTTTGTTCTTTCGGAATTGAACGCTAGAACTACGAGAATTATCTTTGATTTATGCTTTTGTTTATCATATGCTATAATGATTGGAGCTCCAACTTTTGTTAATGTCTTTCTATTCCATTGATGTTCCGACTCTTTTTCGTACTCTGCTCCTCCTTTTCATTTCTTGAAAGGAAGGAATTTAAACTAGATTCTGTTTGTTTTGGGAGGATGTGTAGAACATTATGATTTTGAAATTTATGTGAGCTTTTTTGAATATTTGGCAGCGGCTGATGCGAAAACACGGCCGAATCGATACCTGTTGATTGCTACTAGCGGAGGCTTGAATCAACAAAGAACAGGGGTAGGCACTTAAGACAGACCAATTTCTGTCCAACTTCGGAGTTTGTTCTGCAATACTTGATTAATTTAATTACAATTATGGTGGAAAAATGAAGATTTAGTGTCGTCGTTTACCTTCCTAATGTGTTTACTGTTATTTAAGATATGAAGAATTGTATATGTTACTCTACTCTCCAATTTATTGGATTGGTATTTTTGGGTAAACGAATGCTAACAGTTCTTTTTTTAAATTTTCCTCTGCTTTGAAACCAAATTTACTTGAAATCTTAAGCCGTATTTTTTACTGGAAATCTATGAGTATCTTCAAGTTGAAAAATATGTTTCTGGTTAGTTTTTGACGTATTATGTACTGACCATGTTTGCAGATAACAGATGCAGTAGTTGCAGCTTATATCTTAAATGCTACTCTTGTTGTTCCCCGTTTGGACCAAAAATCTTTTTGGCAGGATTCAAGGTATGTACTCTGTAGTAGGATATCATGTTTACCTTATTACTGGCATATTTGACAGCTAAGGTTCAACGAAATATTCTTTTGCTGAACTTGAGGTTGTGTTTGGTGCAGTGACTTTGCTGAAATATTTGATGTGGACCAGTTTATTTCATTTCTCGCAAAGGATGTTCGGATAATTAAAGAGCTTCCAATGAAAGGAGCAAAAGCCATAGCTCCATATAGCATGCGTGTTCCAAGAAAGTGCACTCCAAAATGCTATATGAATCGGGTTTTACCTGTTTTGAACAGAAGACATGTAAGTATTCAATTCCTCATTAAAATTTGCTTATTTTGGAGGGAAAAAGGAGGCTAAGAAAAAAAATGACATTTCAGTTTTAACTTCTCATAAGATGCCACAATTCTGTTATCAAAATTGAGTGAACCTTCTGTATATTTGTGTCTACATCCTTCATCTGAATTCAATGCCACTTTAAGTGTATTATAGTGGATAAGTGTGCATTGATATGCCGCGTTGTAGGACTGGTAGTTTTGAGTATTTCATTTGATGTGATAGCAAGTCTAACATGATCTACTCTCAGGCCTCTTTAGACCCCTGAAAAAAAGGACGATTTAGACTTTAGAGATTGTTCTGGATGTCCAATCTCATATTTGAGAAAGAACAATTATTTAGTTTCCTGCTTTCAGTTTCTGAAAAGGAGGAAAATGGAAAGAAAATTATCGTTGGTGGTAATATTTATGACAATAATAAAAATAAAAAAGCATATAAGTATAAGCATCTTTTCCATTTCTAGCACTGACAATCTTAGGTTTTCCTTTTCTGCGTACAGGTTGTTCAGCTCTCTAAGTTTGATTACAGGCTTTCAAATAAGCTGAGTAGAAATTTACAGAAGTTAAGATGTAGAGTAAACTATCACGCTCTGAAATTTACTGATTCCATTCTTGACATGGGCAAGACGTTAGTTGAAAGGATGAGGACAAAAAGCAAGCATTTCATTGCCCTCCATTTGAGGTAAAGTACAATTTGTTTGATAACATTCTTTGATTAATTGTCCCTCTCCTATGTTCTTTTATGCCCGATGATGTAAGTTGTGTCACTGAAACACTACTACTTAAACAATTTGTGCATGTTATATGTTTAGACTATAGCTATGTGATATACAGAAAGTAAAAGGTGGCGTGTCCTTGTCAATTGCCTTTACAGTATAAAAGTCAGAAATTATGTTACCCGATGACAATAAGGGAACTTTCTGAAATTCTTATTTTAAAGAATTTTCAAAATACAGCTGGAAATTTTTTAATGACATTGTTTCATTTGTAGGTTTGAACCTGATATGCTTGCGTTCTCTGGATGCGATTTTGGTGGTGGGGAGAAAGAAAGGGTAGAACTTGGTGCAATTCGAAAGAGGTGGAAAAGTTTACATGTGAGTCTTCACTTGTATCTTAAGATGTCGTTCAAGTTTGATTTTAGCGTACATACAATGTAACTGATATCTCTTCTTTGGCGTATGCCATGCAGACGAGCAATCCTGACAAAGTCCGAAGAAATGGCAGATGCCCTCTCACTCCAGAGGAAGTTGGTCTTATGCTTAGAGCATTGGGTTTTGGAAGCGATGTTCACTTATATGTTGCCTCAGGTGAGGTATATGGAGGTGAAGAGACATTGGCACCCCTCAAAAAACTCTTCGCAAACTTCCATACTAAAGAGACAATAGCAAGTAAGGAGGAGTTGGCACCATTTACGTCCTTTTCTTCTCGTATGGCTGCACTGGATTTTATTGTTTGCGATGAAAGTGATGTTTTCGTCTCAAACAATAATGGCAATATGGCTAGAATGTTGGCTGGACGAAGGTACCAAACACAAAGTTCTTTTTAGACTTTTGAAAATTTTACTTCATATTTAGTTGCACATTGAAAAATACAAATCTTGGCATTGATCTTAGTCTCTGACTCTTCTTACAAGAATCAAACTACAGAAAACTTTTGATCTATTTATGGAAACATCGGTGGTACCAATATTTCTTTTCTGCTATGAAACCTTCTCATTGGTAGTAGCTTCGGACACGCTCCTTGTTCTTGCTAGTTGCAAATGATTTAGGTAAGTAGGAAGCCAACTTTACATGTCTTATTGTCTTAATTTTGTGCAGGAGATACTTTGGGCACAAACCGACAATACGCCCGAATGCTAAAAAGCTATACAAATTGTTCATGAACCGACATAACATGACATGGGAAGAATTTGCCTCCAAAGTTCAAACTCACCAGATTGGATTCATGGGAGAGCCAAATGAGATAAAGCCAGGCAGGGGCGAGTTTCATGAAAACCCTGCAGCCTGCATATGTGACGCTTCCGATGCAAATGCTAAGGAAGGAAGTCCGCAAACTCAAATTCATGACAGCCAAAAATCGGATACCGAGGATAATACAAATAAAGATAGTGGTTATTTGACGGATGAGCAAGCGACTGAGGATGAGCAAAATGTGTCCGAGACAGATTATCTAGATAATGGAAGTGCATCAGAGGAAAAAGGACCGCCTAACAGAAAGGATTCTGTAGAACCAAACGTTATACTTAAAGCCGATCAATCGGAACTGGAAGAGTTATTCTCAGACTGAATGAGGGCAATAATAATTGCTCTCTAACCATATTCTTTAAAAGATTCTTTGGCTCATTTTGTTGCCACATTTGAGAGATTGCTTCTTTGAACGAGACTTTTCTTTTCCTTTTACTCAAGTGGCAGTGACAACAAATTAGTTTTTGTATATAGAATAGAGGAGCAGTTTAGATGAATAGAGGTCTCCAAAGAAGGGGGTTCTAGATTTTGAAGCTTGTACATCACAAACTATCGTGGGAGAGATCGTTAGCTTTTGCTTCTTTTTTTTTTTTTTCATGGATAATTCTTTCCGTGAGGCAGGTATGCTTATGATATAGAAGCGAAGTGTAAATTGAGGGTGTTACTTGTTAGAAGGCTTCACTCTCTCTCTCTCTCTCTCTCTCTCTCTCTCTCTTTTTTCTTTTTCTTTTTTTTTTTTTCCTTGTTTCTTTTGTTAGAATGCGAATACCAGAAGTAAAAGCCTTATAATGTTTCTTCTTTTTTTTTTTCCAGTTTTGGCCCTTAATCAGCTGCTATTGCTCTTGTATCTTTGTTTGTTTAATGAAAGTCCAATTATCAAAAGAAAAAAAAAAAGCCTTATAATTTTGGAGTCCTTGCAATTGGAATGTCCTTTTTTCCACATTTTGACAGTGGAAGCTTCCATAAACTGGAATGCCTTCCGTAAATTAGCGCATGTATTTGCTCTCAGTTTACAGTACACGGTCCTTATGCTAGAACACTAGAAGTGGATAATATTCTTTGAGCATTCCGTTTTTACTTATTAGAAAATAAAATAAAAGAAGAAATGCTAGTATCATTGTTTTTATCACTTTATGTATTCATTATTTAACACGTTGATTTTACTATCTTATTTTTTATTTAAATAATAATAATATATTATATTAATAATGTCTACGTATCAAATAATAAATATAAAAAGTGATAAAAAAAAAGTGATACTAACGTCTCTTAATTTTATTTAGTGAACGATGAAAATCACCTTTTTTTTTGTGAATGCAAGTAAATTGCCTGATTGAGAAAAGTCAGGATTTACCTTCTTTACCACGTGACCAAATTATAAACACAAGTATTTACTCCATACCAAAATTCAAAATGCTTGTGCGAGGTAAAAACTATAATATATGAGAAATTGAGTGAGGGGCCGGTTTGAGTCTTGACCATCGTTTTCTTAATAAACATCATTTTTTAAGAAAATTATATGACTGTCATTAAAATAGTTGTTTTGTTCGTCAAAGTGATTGACCATCAAATTAATTTAGTTACTGAGCAATAAATTATTGATTAACATTAACTAAACATCGATTGATATAGATCAATAACTAGATGATCATTTTTCTAATTTAATAGAGCCTTTTTTTTTGAATTTATCCCTACTGTTGAAGTTCTTTATTTTTTTGCTATTCTTTGCCCATTGAAATTTTAAATTATCACATCTACGTATTCTTTCTTAGAAAAATAAACAATTATACTTCTTTAAATATATCCTTATCTACTATATAATTTCATATATTTTTTGAACCCTAAAATATTAAATTTAACTTAGTTTAGCGCATGTCCCGTTCACTTCGCGGATTCGAATTTTCAATTCAAGTTGATATATGACATTTTCTGAGAATTTTTCACTGTAGCAGAAAAAGTTAGATGTGACATTTTTTGAGAACTTTTTACTGTAAAAACTTAAAATTGAAAACCCAAATCGGTGAAATGAACGAGCCCTTTGTTCAAAATTTTTTTGCTTAAGTCATGGCCCTGAAAAAATTTTGGCTCCATCACCGGCTACTGAAACTAGAATACATAATTAAAGAACATTTATCAAATGAATCTTTAATGTGAACCTATAGTTCTTTTTTTATTATTATTATTTTTGTTCAAACCTAGAAGTCGTTGCATTACATTCCGAGTAAGATTTAATAACTAACGTGACGAATTAAAAATAACAATAATAACGAACGAGCGAAACAAAACGAGAACGTTTTGCGAGACGTGGCAAAAACCGTAATCCAATAGTGAGAAGGACGTGGCAGAATTGAGATCTATTGTTCATCTTCATCCCCTCTCTTTCTTTTTGCCTTTTTTTTAAAAAAATTTAATTTTATCTCTCTTATTTTCCGTTTCCTCTGTGGCTTCTGTCGCTGCAGCAAAAGCTTTTAGAGAGAGAGAGTGAAGAAATCGATTAAATGGTGGCAATGGCTTGTAGGCTTCCGGCGCAGCTCGCGACGCCGGGAAAACTCCATCGCTCAACAAAAGCTTCGACGTGCCATGGCGCACTCTCATTTCGGCGCACTTTAGCACCCGAAGCTATCGGTTCTTCTCTCTCTTCCGCTCCTTCCTCCTCCATAACTCTCACTGGTTAGTCAATTTTTGCCTTTTTTTCTTACCTCTGCTTGTTTCGATTGTTTTGGCATTTGCAAAATTGATGAATAATGATACGGAGTTGAAAAGAAAAAAGGAGAAAAATACGAATTCTCATTCTAACAGTTGCTAAATGCAGGAATAGCAATTTGGATACTCAAGTGGTAAAATATCGAGCTGTATAAATTGTATTCAATTCGACTAGGAAGTTCGTAATTCAGAGTTTAGAGTTTGAGTACTATTTTTATTTTTTATTTTTTTTGGTAGAAAGAGGTCTATATTCAGTCGTTATATACTAAATGTGTATATGGGTAATTGTATAATTTATTAAATTGTAAGGAAAACAAAGCCAAGTCTCTTTTTTAGTATTGAGATTCTGTTTCATTATCATTGTTATCAAGTGACGCCAAAGTAGTTATTATTATTGGTATTGGTATTGGTATTATTGGTGAATTTATTTTATAAAATGATTTTGAGATTCTTAGCATTGTCTTTGATAACAGTATTAGTATTGGGGAACTTATTATAGTATTAGTATTGTTGGTGAATTTATTAAATATAAGGAATTGTATAAAATGACTTTGAGATGCTTAGCATTATCTTTGATAATTATCCTCAATTAACTAACTAATTCCAGATCTATATAACTTAACTGGATCTGTGGCAGGAAGTTCTTACAAGAGACCTCTAGTAACATGTACTGGTCAGACATCTGTTGGAGCTGTGAATCTTGCTCCGGGCACGCCGGTTAGGCCGACAAGTATACTTGTGGTGGGTGCTACGGGGACTCTTGGCAGGCAGATTGTGAGGCGGGCACTCGACGAGGGCTATGATGTCAGGTGCCTTGTCAGGCCTAGACCAGCCCCTGCTGACTTCCTCCGCGATTGGGGCGCCACTGTGGTCAATGTATATAAACTGAATTTTTGGATTAATTGTCTATTGTTGATGTGGTATTGGTACAGAAACAAACAAGGGTATTTCACGAATATGCCATGCTTGTGTTTTTCTTTTATGTATATGCTTGTTCAACAGGGTTACTTTGGAAGCCTATAATGTGTTATGGGGAAAGCGTGTTTTGCTTGTTCAAATATTTGGACACATCGTAATTGTAAATCTAGTAGTAAATTTTGTTATTTGGGTGTAAAGTATGGGTTCGTTGTAGGACCTTGTCTTTATTTTGCTCTGTTGAAGTTGAGTCATTGAATGTAAAGTGTTTTGGAGCAGGCAGACCTTAGCAAACCAGAGACAATTCCTGCAACACTGGTCGGGATTCACACGGTTATCGATTGTGCTACTGGAAGACCAGAGGAGCCCATAAAAAGGGTATGATTTGACTACAGATTATTTCCTTGTCTCTTCAAAAGAATTGTCTTAGCCTACGATTTACCTAGTTCTGATCCTGCATTTTTTAGTAGCTGCTTCATTTCAACAGCAAGTATAATGAGTCATGTTAAATTTCTTTTGTTCAGTGAAGAAATTGGTGCACAACTTATCGTATCATTAAAGAACCTAGAAAGAAGAGAGCAAATTGTACAACATCTGATATTATCGTTTTACTGGATTCCTAGCCTTATCTAATCCGCTTTTTTATTAGGTAGATTGGGAAGGAAAAGTCGCTCTTATACAGTGTGCAAAAGCAATGGGAATCCAGAAATTTGTATTCTTTTCCATTCACAACTGTGACAAGCACCCAGAAGTCCCGTTGATGGAGATCAAATATTGTACTGAGAAGTTCCTCCAGGAGTCTGGCCTAAATCACATTATTATAAGGCTATGCGGTTTCATGCAAGTGAGTAACCAACAACTGGGGATTTTACTTTTTCTTTACCATCTTCTTACGTACTTAATGTAATTTTATGATAACCTTTCAAGTTGGATATCTAATACTTTCTTTGAATGTCTCTTGATTATATTTGTAAGTTGAATACAAATGCTTCTTATCATCTTGGTAGGGCCTTATTGGGCAGTATGCAGTACCTATACTAGAAGAGAAATCGGTTTGGGGTACTGATGCTCCTACTCGAATTGCTTACATGGACACACAGGTTATTTATCCCATAACTTCTTATCTTATTCGTTTTCATAAATACATTTGATTCCATTTTTATGATATCTGAAAAATGAAAACTTGTACATCTATGCCAGGATGTAGCTCGTCTGACATTTATAGCACTGCGAAATGAGAATATTAATGCGAAGCTTCTCACATTTGCTGGTCCCCGTGCATGGACGACTCAAGAGGTGAGCAAAGAATAGCTTTTGTTGAGAGCTTATATACTTCTCTCCCGAGTGTTTGCTTTGGTAAGACTACTTTTTACTGAATTGGGGAATCTAATAGCTGAACTTGTATTGCTTACAGGTGATAACATTGTGTGAGAGACTTGCAGGGCAGGACGCAAATGTTACAACAGTCCCAGTCTCCATCTTGAGATTGACTCGTCAGCTAACTCGGTTGTTTGAGTGGACGAATGATGTTGCCGATAGATTGGCATTTTCAGAGGTAGAATTTCTTGCATTTCCCTTTCTGATTTTTGTATAAAGGAAATATACAACTGAAGGGCTAATCTGTTGCCCTTAATGTGCACAGGTTCTTACAAGTGACACCGTTTTCTCCGTTCCCATGGTGGAGACATATAATCTACTTGGTGTGGATGCAAAAGATATAGTTTCGCTAGAGAAATATTTACAAGATTATTTCACAAACATATTGAAGAAATTGAAAGATCTCAAGGCACAGTCAAAGCAAACGGATATTTACTTTTGAAGGAAAGGAACCATTTTGCAATATTGTAAATGAAGCCATGTATGTATTAACAAGTCTTGTGCCACATACCACTCATGTCGAGGTATTGACTCATTTTGGTCACCCCCCCTTCTTGTTCTTCTTTCAAAATTTTCATTTGGAGAGAGAAAATTTGTTGAATGCCAGTGTGCTACTGTATTAAGATTGCTAAATGCAAAGTCTCCATAGTTTTGATGTTTAATCTTTCATAGTCTGCCGACTACTCCACATATGTGATGAAAGGAATTTTCAATCCGAATGTGTCTTGCAGATTTTACCCTTGTGCACCATAGTATGTGCAAACAGTTAAAATTTACATTTATGTTTCTCAAAAGGAATAGAGTAGGGCAATTTAATAAACACTTGTGAACCAGATTAAGATCAAAAGACAAACGCGTGTAAGGAGCTAATTTGAGTTTTTGGTGGCTGTAGGCATAATCTTGCGGTAATACCATACTTGTCTCCATCACAAGGGCAGAGTTCGAATCCCCACCGGGCCCACCCCAAGTTAAAAAAAAAATAATAATAATAAAATTGCCCTCTCAAGTCTTACCTATGTAGTGTAGGCAATAGGCATAGCCGCTCTCTTGCAATTTCCACTTGTCCTCTTTAGTGCGTCGTTGACTTTTTTCCTTCTGAAAAAAAAGGATTTTCTGCAATAATTTCAATTCTCCCAAAGTCAAAAGAGCTGATATATGTATAAAATACTAATAGAGGTAATTGACGTCGTCGTTTTGTGACCATGCGTTAATAGTCTTTTAAAAATAGAATTGGGCCAGGATACCGGTAGCCGCGAAGTCAACAGGTATGCCCGGCCTATCAATAGGCACTCGCGGACATAGTCCAGCCCATCAGGCAACCAATAAACGCCGAAGCCCACACAGATAGTGAAAGCTGGAAAACTAGAATGCCGACCACAGCAAAATTGAGCTGTCCCCTCTCTTAGGTCAGTGGCCACGAGACATAGGTCGTTTATTGTTTGAGAGTAAAGGGCAGAAATAATGGTAGAGGCGAAATAATACTCCCTAACAATCAAATCTCTATCGAGTTTTAATAAACTGACATATTTTTCGTAATATGTATTATTTGACAGTTCAAAATCCTATATACGATAAGGTTTTTTTTTTTTTTTTTTTCAAACTTACTATAGAATTTTCATTTTAATTGTTAACTAAATTGATTGTCAATGTTGTTGTTTTTTTTTTTTTTCTAATGGACAACGTGTGTTTTTAGTTGGAGGGAGAGATAGAGGAAGAGAGGTAATCCAATATTTGGTTAGAGGGAAGAAAAGAGGGAGTAGAGAGAAAGATAGATGAGTGACGTTTGGTTCATGGATTAGAATCATGAGATTAGAATCATTTTTTATTTACATGTATTTTTTGTGAGAGAAAACACTGTAACAAATCATGAACCATGATTCGAATCGGGGTATGAATCCCCCAACCAAACAACCCAAGTCTCCTTTCGAAGTCACCGGATTTAATTCCTTCACTGATGAAAAGATTGACGAATCCACACCGTTTAAAAGAATTATTAACAAATAGTAAAATTACGATATAATAATAAGATAAATAAATATCATTCATTCTTTTAACTCTTCTTTCTTCATATTAAACAATAAAAATAACTATTATAATTCTTTCATTCACCATATTCTCCCATCATTTACAAACTATTCATTCATCATATTTATTTCCGTTCATTCCTACCAAATAACAAACATGCCCTCAAAGCTAAAATTGGTTTTCAATAATACATATAATATGTATTAGAAAGAGAGAGTCATGTGATGTGATATACTAATAATTTGAAGATAGTGATGACTCTATTGGTCCTTTTCTAATCGCTAGCCTCAATCTATCCATCTAAATCTAATGATAGAAAGAGAGACAAACGCTAAAGTTGGCAATTTAGGTGGTGGTTCAGAAATGTTTTACACCACAAGAGTTAAAAAGTTGAAATTATAATTATTAGGTGGGCCAATTTAAGCAACTCTATATTATCAAGTTGGCCATATTCAGAGAACGGAGATTTTTCCATTTTTTTATTTTTTATTTTTATTTTTGAGAATTCGAGATTTGACCCCTTTTAGTTGATTGCTGAAATAATTTCATTTCAAATGGTTTTTGTTTTTGCCGCTCCCTAGTCCCCATTTCTCACTACTCTCTAGAAAAGAAAACATATATAAAATTGATAAAAGTTGAGAGTACATGTACGGCAGTTGATTTTATTTTTCACTTTTATTTCTTATTTTTGTTTTTCATTTGACAGGCCAGGCCTTATTCCTTACAAACGAGTGATTTTATTAATCAATCACAGAGCATTTCTCTGTTGCTTGTACTGCTTGTAGTCTTTAGTACGGGTAACTGTGGTTCCTGGCTTTAACAAACGCGTTTTGGTCTAAACCAATCTACCAAACTTTTCCTTTGAAAAAAAAAAAAAAAAAAAAAACCCCAATCTACCTAACTAATCAGTAACGTTCTCCGAGGAACTAATATATTATATACTGATAGATTGATTATTTTTTATTGTTAAATTTACATAAAATTAGGTAAATTAAAAAATATGTAAATTTAATAATTAAAAATATTTAACCTACTATACACCTACCGTACTATCTCCCAACTAATTAATGAAATTAAGATAAAGGATTTTCATTTCAAAAAAAAAAGAGAGAAAATTATTATGGTAAGAAATGTGACCTTTTTCACAACGTGTAGTTTTGTTGTTTTAAAGGTCGAGTTAACTTTTCAATGGAGAATAATTCCGTGTCGTGTACTTCAAAATTTTTAACGTGAATTTATAGAGGAGACCATTAAAAAAATTAATCTAAACAATAGTTTCTGTCAGTAGCAAAAGTTCTTATGGCAGAAATTTCTTAAGAATAAAGATTGTATTGTTATTGTAAATGGTAGTTTTGTGTTTTGAACCATGGGGTTTTACCTTTTCAAGGAATAACAGTTTAGTTCCTTTAGTTTTCTTTTCTTTTCTTTTCTTTTCTTTTTTCCAAGTTGATTAGTCCCTGAATTAGTGAATTTAGTCTATCTTTAGTGGGAAGAAAGAGAAAATATATAAGAAAGAATTAATGGAAGCACTAGTCACATGCACATCACATTAAAACTTGAAAGTTCATAAAAGCATCCACATCATGTGCAAAATGTTTTTTTTTTTTTTTTTTGTGATTTTAGAGCTAATAAAAATAACAATATTAACATACATAACTGTTTTTGCAAAATATCAAGTTATTATGCAATAAATATAAATCTTGTCAATTTTATTGCTAGCGACTGCTAAAAAAAATTAAATTCAATGGCTAATCGATTAGAAAAATTAAGAATCCAAGTATTCAACCGTCTGAATGCTATAGTTTAGGAACGATCGCACCAAAAACAACTTTCATTTAAATAAAGAAACAAACAGTACAACGTAATGTTAATAACCCATCAAAAGGACATAGCGTACATCTGAAGTCTAAAATCAAGAGATAACCTTGGTACATTGTGCTAAAAACCAAAATTAAAAGGACAAATGTTAAAAAAAAAAATCAAATGGACAAATGCAATTTATGTGTTTCAATGTCATGAAAAGGAAAAGCCATAACTTCGACCAGTTGAGCAGTTGGTGTATTACTGTTTTTAGCTATAGCTATTTTATGAGGTGGTCCAACATGTTCCATATCTGAACTCTGTTTCTATAACAAGATATTACCAATTTCACAAACCGCTGCGAATATCAGTTTACAACGGTCAATATAATTTAAACTGACTTATTTGTTTATTTATTTTGCTTGTATTATATATATATATATATATATATATATTTTTTTTTTTTTGTTTAGCAAATAACCTTTGGGATGGAGATAATTGGGGACATTAATTAGATTATATGTCAATTCTCTTTCACACTTAATCGTTTCCCTGTATCTCTTGCTGTTGTGATGGTTATTATCATTTTTCCTTCTTTTTACTCCACAGAATCTCTGCCTTGTTTATTAATTTCATGAACCTTAAATGATAATTTAAAATTTTTTTTTTTTTTTTTAGAAAAAAAAAAGCAAGGGACAGGCAATTATACAGTTGGGTCGTTTTCTTTTGGCTGTCGTTATCCTTATTTTCTCTTTTTCCTTTTGGAGTGAATATATAATAACATGCATGAGATTCAATCTCCTCATCCGTATTGATGTCTGTCTTTTTCCATTGACAGACCCAGAAATCTCGAGGATGATTCTTATTTATTTTACTCTCTACGCTCCTCCTCTAACCACACATCTCATATAATTATGATCAAATTTTTTTTTTATACACTCTTATTATTTAAAAATTACCTCTCATTATTTTCATAAAATTATTAAAAATAGTATTATTTACACTCCTTTTTTTTCTCTCTACACTCACCTCTTTACTTTCCACACCTCCTTCTAATTATATACCCTACATATAAACTAATTTATTACTTTAATATTATATCTTTTTTTTTTGGTTAGAACTTTAGGAATAGGGAGGGTTTTTTGTTTATTTTTTTAAGTTCAATAGGGAAACAAAAAATAAATGAAAAGGTAAATAAAAAAATAAAAACGTCAATTGAGCTGCATTATATTCATTGAATATTGATTAGACTCAATAGCAGACAAAAATACAGTAAGATATTGCCTCATGAAGACAAGTATGATTAAAAAAAAAATTAAGAGAAAAAACCCCGTAGTCTAGCATTATAAAAAATAGAAAAAAAAGTGAAATGATTGACTCAAAAAATTGATTGGCAAACAAATATGAGCACAAAACGAAAAATAAAAAGTAAAAAAAATCTTCATATAACAAATTATAAAGAAAATTGAACTACCTCCGTGTAATTTCTTAGAATAGTTATTGAAAAGTAAAAATTATTTGCTATGTATTTTTGAAATAAAAATAGTTTATAATTTATGAATATAATATGTGGAGTCTGTAGAAAGAGAAAACAACTCTATTAAGGCCGTTCACTTCGTTGATTCGAATTTGTAATTTGAGTTGAGATGTGATTTTATGTGAGAGTTTTTTACTGTAGTAAAAAAATTAGATGTGACTGTTTCTGAGAACTTTTTACTGTAGTAAAACTCAAATTCTAAACTCGAATCGGTAAAGTGAACGGGGCCTAAAGTTTCACTTTCATAATATAATTCAATTATATAATTAAGTCTATTGTCCTTTTTTGTCATTTTTAAGTGTTTTTTTATAATAAAAAATT